GTTAGAGGTTCTGCATCCTAGAGCAAAATGAAAACTCCTCCTACAAGCTTTAACATGTGCTCTGCTGGACACTGATAGAAGTCAGTTTATATTTACTAAAATAATTGCACTTCCATGTTCTGTGTACTGTGGAAGACCAGGTATAGTGCATGCAGGGTCCTGGGTTTAGTAACACTTTAAGACCGTAGAGAGAGGGGCAAAGGCTTGCCATACATGGGTAAGTGTTTGTTTTTGTTTTTTCCAACCATTGGGTTGGACAAAAAAACTGACCTGACTCCCCCATCCACACATTCGAGGTGGATGTGGGAGTCCTCCCCACTGTGTCTTTGCAGTTTGACAGTAGGTAGACTTGCCTGTCATCAGATTAAACAGATCAGCTCTACAGTCTAGAGCCTGCAGTGCTGATTGGGGCTTTTTTCTTTTCCCCAACAGAGCGACTGAACAGAAGAGAATAAGATCTATAGCTATTCAATCACAGTGGCCATAATGGTTTGAAAATTGGCTAGATTAGTTTGGTTAGGGGAGGGCTATAACCTAGTGCCAAGCTATGCAAAAGTTAAAAATCCAGGGACTCCATGGGCATACATAAAGAGGGTATAGAAATATCAAAGGTACTTAAAGGCACCATTTAAAAAAAAAATTATGTTTAACTGCCTCCTGGCCGCCATGTAAGGAGCGCAGCTATTGGTGGTACACCGTGTCCTTGGGTTACAGTGGATCACTGATCAGTGGAAAGACCCAATGACATCGGCTCTGTCATGTGATCATATGTGTCCAATCACGGCTGATCACATGTAAAAAAGGAAATGCCAGCTATCGGCATTCCTCTCCTCACGAGCTGCCACACTAACAGCTGTGAGGAGAGGAGAGCCGGTAATCGGCATTCCTCAGAGGGGACATGTACACTGATCACCAGTGCCCTGATGATCAGTGTAGCCCCATCAGTTCCACCTATCAGTGCCATATAGAAGTGCTGCCCTTCAGTGCCCATCAGTGATGCCTGTCAGTGCCGCGTCCTCATCAGTGCCCATCACTGCAGCCTCATTAGTGCACATCAGTGAAATAGAAAAATCACTTATTTACAAAATTTTATAGCCGAAACTAAAGCCTTTTTTTTTTTTTTGTTTCAAAATTATCAGTTTTTGGTTTGTTTAGCAAAAAATAAAAAACCCAGAGGTGATTAAATACCACCAAAAGAAAGCTCTGTCAAAAAAAAAAAGATAAAAATTTCATATGAGTACAATGTTGCATGACCGCTCAATTGTCATTCAAAGTGCAACAGTGCTGAAAGCTGAAAATTGGCCTGGGCAGGAAGGAGATAAAAGTGCCCGGTAGGCTAGTGGTTAAATACACCGATGTGCATAGCAGGCTCACTCTTCTGATACTGCCAGTCACTGTCAGGTAAAATAGAATTTCTTTGGCCTGTCCGTGTGTTCTGCTGTATACTACTCTCTCAAAAGTACTGTAGTATCTTTTTGACAATAGTCCAAGTTGTAGCCATGTGAAAAAAAGTTGTAGCCACGTGAAACGTGGGGAAAAAGTGATCATCTGTAGAGCTGGGGAGGAAGAGGTGGGCCTTATATTTCAGGCTTTAATGAAAGAGCCCTATAAAGAGCAGTTTTCATTTAGCAGATTTCCCAGATGTTTCCTGAACTTCGTCAGATGTTACATTTACTAGAAAGTTTAACTCCTGGGAAGACGGTTGTTGTGGAGATTGTTGCTACAGACATACGTTGCGGGGAAGGTTTTGGAACAAATTCCGCTCCGCTCGGAGCCTTCAATAAAGTGGCCTTGCACGCACTAACAGCTCTGAAAAGGAGTGAGGCTGCAGAAAAGGGAAAGCTGACCATGGCTCATTTTCATTATTGATGTGCCAAAGAAAACGGGCACAGCCCCTCACAGCTCAGCACTCTCCCCTGTAAAATCCTGCTACTCGGCATAGTCATGCATTGAGAACCATGTACACGGATACATTCATAAACCAGTGATGCCAAATAACTATACCTTTGCAGAATTAAATGGGATGTAAGACATTGGCCTCTGCAGCATTGGATTATTTTATGTCGCTGTACTTTTTACTAATGTTCTTGGCCTAATTGCATTCTGTGTATAGTACATTTATCAGCCCCATATACTGTATTTATGATCAAAGAGGTTTTGGTTCCAAGTGCTGCTTTCATTTACTGTACTGTCCTCCAAATACCTTTTACGAAACCATTGAGGTTCCATATAGAAGGTCATAAAGACCCCCTCTGTGCTGTAAGAACATCCTCTCAAGTGAAGGATACTCTTGTTTGTACAATGTACAATCTTGTAGATCAACCACAACAACAGTTGGGTGCACCACCTAAAACTATAACCTAAAATGTTTTACCAACAATCTGCCTAGTAAATGCTAAAAATGGAGCCCAAAACATTGCTGGCCTTCAAAGAAAGTCAGCGACCATCCAGATGAGCTTTTATAGTTTTAGGTGGATGAATGCGTCTTATGTTTTATAGTATGTCAGCAGTAAGATTAGAAAGGGTCCTTCCACCCAAATGTGATCCTTTAGTATAGATGGAGTCTAAGATTGCTCTAGATTATTGCTCTTACTCAGGCATGCCCAACGATTTGCAAACACAAGGCCCACGGGCCGAATCCGGCTCTCCATACCATTTCATGTGGCCCTTGCACCTTTCCTGCAGCTGCGGCACCTCCCTTATGTTTGCCTCCACCTTGTCTCAGCAGTTGGCAGCAGAGAGGAGGACAGAACTCCTTCTACAGATCCAGCACCTCTTTGTGCAGCTACAGCACCCCATCGTCTCTGCTTCCCCAGGTCTCAGCATTCATTAGACTTCAGCAGCTGACTCCAGCCCTTCTCTTGTCCTCCTCCAGACCCTACACTTTCTGCTTCCCCAACTTCTTCCTAGTGGCAGCACAGGGTAAGGGGGTGCACTGTGGTGATGGGCTCTTGACTTCTGATGGTGGGGTATCACTTGTCATATGATGTAAAGGGGGGGGTGGGGGGTGCTCTGAACATCTAGTCTTACAGATACCACTGGCCCTTTGAGGGCAAACATAATGCTGATGTGGCCCACCATAAAATTGAGTTTGACACCCTTGATCTAGAGCAATAGACTCCACACCAGCCTGGGGCTAGATGCGGTCCTTTGCTTGCCTTTTATCTGTCCTGGACTCAGTGGGAGGAATAGTGCCAGATAGGGCCAATTTCTACTCCAAATGGCCACAGTCTGGCCACCCTATACTCCAAATGGCCAAAGTCTGGCTACACTAATGTCTGAAGAACTGTAAACTGGTCCTTTTTTTTTGTTTAAAAAGTTTGGAGACTACTGATCTAGAGCCATCATTAACTGTTTGCTCTGTATTGATGAGCTGTAAAGTCTTTGAAAGCTTGGTCTATGGACTGTTTTTAGGTAGTGTAGTTTTTGCTGTGTCATGAGTGGTATACAGTTTTGAGTCTTGACATATTTGGGATCTATTTTTTGTTACATCATCTTTATATATTTTATCAAAATGGGATGTTCTATTGTGTTTGTGCGCACTAAAATTTAAGAATACGTGGTAGTTGCTAACCTTAAATTTGTAGAAACTAGTTGTCCAGATCTGGATTTGGACTGGCAAGATATTTGTCCATGACATATGAGATTAGCAGAGCCTTCTCCAATTTGTGGATAAAATCTCCTGTCCTTTGTCACTATCACAGTGACAGGTTCTTGGCCTCTGTTTAGAGTGTGAGCTGATTTTAGAGGCTTTTTTTTTTTTTTCGTTTCGCACACATGAAGTTAATACAGTAAAGTTTGTATTGGAGTACTTCAATATTTGCCTGATCTCAGCATTGTGTTCTCTATATTATTGGGCTTGTTGTCCTCCTTCACGTATGAAGATCTTGTCATATAATGCAGTATCAGAGAGGACTTTTAATTTGACATGGGGCCTGCCAGCCTGTTTTGTGCAGAGCAGAGAGCCTGCCAAGTTTGTGAGGCCCTGGGCTCTCTGGTGGGAGGATGCTGGGTTGTCTTCGAGCTCTTTGGCAATGATTAAAGTGAGGTTAGTATTAAAAGAAACTTTCATTTCATCCCCTTATCCTAAACTCTTCTTTATATCCCAGATGGCAGTTTCATATTCTCATCTGCAGTTCATTTACAGCGTGAGACGGCAGGGAACAGGGCCGTGCCGTGGAGGAGAAGGCCATAAAGTGGAAGGGTCAGCCTTGTGTCTTCATTTCAGTAGTTCAGTTGGTAGTGACAAGTATGGACATAGTGACCTGATAATCTGTAGTCAGGTCAAGCAAGTATTACCTGTCATTTTATTATATAGTGCCAACATATACCATAGTGCTTTCTAGAGAGTGAAGGCCCTTCAAAAAAAAACAAAACAAAATTGGTATCAGAGATGGCACTCAAAATTGGGCTGATTGTCTCTGGTAACCAGTGAGATGGTGAAGGTGAGAAAGTGAATAGGATTGCTATGGTAACACCAATTACTCCCCCCTTGAGGTTTCTATGAGACATTTGCCTCATTGCTGTGTGATGAGCCAATAGTATGTGGTGCAATCTAGATTTATGGTTTATATTGCACTTCTCTTATCTATTGAAACAAAAATTGTGTGTGCAGTCCTGAGATAGGAAGCAATTATCGTTACACTCCTAATTTACTATGATACACAATGACCCCTTGCTGGGCCTTTCACCAGCCTTTGGCATGGCAGCAGCTAGACACAGTGGGTGACTTTGGAAATGCAGGAGGCTTTTATAAAATGAATTTGCTTTCACTGCTCATGTTGTAGCCATTCGTGAACTTTATCTTGAACGTCTTCATATACAATTTCGTAGTATTCAAGACCTATCAATGAGCTGAGCATAATAGGCAATCACCACAATAAGATAAACATTTACGGATAATCATTTTGTTTTATAAAAAAATACTGGGACTTATTTGTAAATGATTGCACAGGATTTTTTGGTGTAATTCAAGCTTTTTTTTTTCCTAATCTGTCTAGAACCAAGAGTCTTAATGGGGATTTCAGAAAAGACCTGCGAGACCGAAGTCGCAGTCCGATAGAGCGAGCAGCTGCTCCGACAATGGGGTTACATGCAAATCACCTGTACAGCTCAATTCCAAGCATCAGTATGGATCAGCCTCTCGCCCTCACCAAAAACAGTGACCTGTCCCGAAACCTGGGGATCACACCTACTATGAGCCCTGTGGAAAGACAGCAGGTAAGAAAGCTGCTCGGCTAACAATCAGCAAGAGATGCCAGATTGGTCTTGAGATGAGACACTATTTATCTCACATTAGAATTGTATCCTATATGGTGGCCCTAATTAGAGCTCTGATAACCAGCAGTAATAAAATACCATGCATTTTCCTGAATTTTGTGTCTCAAGAACGCAAGGAAGATGCAGATAATCAACTTGCATGTGGCGATCAGAATGTCCAGTTCTGCTTGAACAGCTAGACCTGTTTACATGTGGATAATTCTGGTCATTTGACATCTCTGCCGAACTTACAGATCATACAGGTGAAGAGGAAAGGGGCATGATGAGCACATATTAAGGCAGATGCAATTATCCTCTTGGGTTTTACTCCTTTTCCAGCCTAGTTAGGCTAACCAGGCCGTGCATATAGGAGGTCAACTACAAAGGCTTTTCCAAAGCCCGAAGAAAATTCCGGCTTCCTCCTTGAGATAAAGACGCACTCATCGGCCACTTTATTAGGCACACCTTGCTAGTGCCAATCTCCCCCACATCATTACACCACCACCAGCCTGGACCATTGATTCAAGGCAGGATGGATCCATGCTTTCATGTTTATGCCACATTCTGACCCTACCATTTGAATGTCGCAGCAATCAGTCTGCCCATTCTCCTCTGACATCAACGAGGCATTTTTCTCCACACAGCTGCTACTCACTTGATATTTTATCTTTTTTGGACTATTCTTTGTAAACCCTAGAGATGGTTGTGTGTGCGAAAATCCTATTAGATCAGCAGTTTTTGAAGTACCCCGCACCAACAACCATGCTATGTTCAAAATCACTTAAATCCCCTTTGTTCCCCAATCTGATGCTCGTTTTGAACTTCAGCAAGTTGTCTTCACCACGTCTACATGCCTAAATGCATTGAGTTGCGTGTGCGTGTGTGCGCGTGTGTTCCAACAGATTACATGGCAGGCACCCATTCGTCTTCAAGCCTCAATTATTAGAAATTAACTTTTAATCCCCCAAGGACAATTTTATAGCTTTAGGTGACTTTTGGAGCCACCACATCTAAGGAAAGGTAAGCTGTAATATATTACATTTTTTATTCTTGTCTTTAGATAAACTAGTTATTGGGAAGATTAAAGCAAGATGAGCTTCATTTAGCTGCCTCTGGCAAGTTCTTTGAGGGATGGCAAATGTTACATTTAAGTAATGTTCTCTGGTTGTGCTTACACTTAAGCCAGCCATACATGGATTGAAATTCAGCTGGTTAATCGGGGACCAGCCGTATTTTGATTCATGTATGGGCACCCTAGTTGTACAGACGTCTAATCTACTGATTAACTACAACTGTACAACCAGCATGTCAAGTCTTTCCTGAACAATTCCTATCACCAGTTATATCCGGCAGCACTGATCATTGTATTCTGATGATGTGGAGAGGGCTCTCTGCCGTCAGGATACAATGATATAGTGGCAGTGATTCTCCTATCCACCCACATCGAATGTGTGAATGGAAAAATTGGGTGTTGTTTTTTTTTTTTTTTTTTTTGTTTTCAACCCACTGGTTGAATGGGGGGAAAAAGTGGTTAATGTATGGACTGCCTTACACACCAATTTCAAGGTATTGCAAACTAGGTATCAGATGAGGCAACTAATAGCAATAGGGTTAAGCTCGTGTTGAGTAAAAATTCTAAACATTAGGTTAGGTGAAGTCCTAAACTTTGTAATTTTAAAGGTTTGGTGGTTTGCAGATGAGGTTGTCAACTAGGGGTTATACTTATAATACACCTGTATGAACAGAAATGGAGGCTGCCATTGCTTACCTCCTGAAATTCCATTTTCCTGAGTACTTTTACTCACTGGCCTAGGACCAGCATGTGGCTACTGGAGTCGGTGAAAAGTCAGTACTCCAGATTTGTGCCAGTGAATCAGAATCTATTGAAGCACTGGGATCAAGTCCTTCTTGGCGTATTTTCAAAGAGAATTCAACGATGGCAACCAGTGTATTTTTTTTTTTTTTTATTGTACTACAGATTTCCCCTTGTAGCTTTTAATCCATCCTTCATATACAGGGTGATTGAAATGTAACTCGCTATTTTAAACTATTTATACATTTTTTATATGAAGTTACTTTTTTCTCAATTCTTTCATGTATGTTCCTTAACCTATGACAATTAAATCTGCGATACCATGAATGCCGAAAGGTATCTCACTATGCTGCAAGATGAAATCTGGCCAGTTATCAATACCTGGGAGAATATTGAAGACTTGATTTTTATACAAGATGGTGCTCCTCCACATTTTTCTATTATTGTTCGTGAATGGCTGAATGAACATTTTCCTGGGAGATGGTTGGGTTGACGTGGTCCGCATGAGTGGCCAGCCAGAATCCCTGATTTAACACCCTGCGACTTTTTTCTTTGGGGTTGGTTGAAGGAACAAGTTTACTCTATAAAACCAGAGGGGTTTAGAAGAACTTGAAGGGTGACTACAAGAAGTTATTTCTGCCATCCCACAAGAGTTCCTGCGAAGATCAGTTGATGCGATTCCCGAGCAGCTTCAGAAGCTGCAGGCGAATGCTGGTGCACGTATCGAATTTTAAATAAAACTCCGTGTTATGTGTTCTTCTCATATTCATTTTTTGTAAAAATAATGATTAAAAAAATAAATTATAAGATTTTTAAAATAAGGAGTTGCTTTTCAATCACCCTGTACATTTATCATTAAAGAGCTAGGGCGGATAAAGCGTAATCATGACCTTAAGTGGTGGTCTTTCCATTTCTGGCTTTTTATCTTGTGTATGCGTCGGACATGTTGTACTTAATTGTTTTTATATTCTTCTCTTATAAGGAAGGAGCTCAGTGAAATGATCTTGGTGTTTTAGGGATTAGAGTTCTATATTTAGTTTGTACTGTTAAGCAAAGCAAACAGTCCTGTTTTCTGAATTAATAACTTTTCAGTAAAAAGAACATTGAGATTATCGTAAGCACTAATGCTTTTCCAGGCAGTGCAGTTCTCTGATCATACCATGTCTAGTTTGGCTGCAGGCATATGATGGCCATCAGGCTCTGAGTTCAGTCTGATGTATTCTAAACAACCCATTTTATGCATAATACTTCTTCAGAAATGGCAGTTGCAAGGACTAAACATGTCTATGCAGTGAAAATTCATCATGGTCAGTTGGTTCAACCAGCTTCTATTACTACAATGACCCGCCAGGGTACTCCTGCTCTCCTTTTCTGGGACTGATCAACCATGGGAACTCTTTCGTCCTCTGCACTGCTAGGGTCACTTTAAATTTCCCTTCCAAATGGCACAAACCTGCCCCCCCACTGCTCATTTTAGCTGCCAGGAATAGGAGAAGCTTCACTGTAAGTTACAAGATGCTCAGATCATGACTTGGATGGTTTAAAGACTCCTCCAATCAAGCACCAGTGCTTTCACATGGGAATGATCAGATGGAGCGCGTCACATGCTCCACCATACACAGGAGTACCAGATATTTTCTCTGCTCTCAGCAGTTGAGGAGGTGGTGGGGGGGAAGGGAGATAAAGGCAATGTAAGTGATGCCATGGAAGAGCCATTAAAGCAAACCTGCGTGAGCAAAGCATTGGATTGCTTGAGTCACACCATTCTCTTAGACTTGATTAATCCTTTCCTAATCCACCATGGGTATCGAAATACTTTTGGGTTTCATTTAATTAACTATGTTTTGTCAGCAGACACATTGGGGCAGTAGGAATCTCTCCTAAAATGATCATGCACTTTGCCCATACTAGGCAAAGCAATGGATTTCATTTTTGGAGGCTTAATAGATATCCTTTACTATTCTTGCTCTTCCTTTCTGTCAGAACCTACAGAAACCCCAGTGTAAGTTTGAAATTGCTGAACCGTACCCAGGAATACGCACATCTAGATTCACACGTGACAGCAATTGGGCCTAACTTCGCTAATGGCTGCTCGCCAAATGATCTGTTGTGGGCTGAAATGAGGAGTGTCTCCTATTCTCCCACACCTGAAGATGGCTGGTATTTCTGGGGTTGTAGTAGCAGGTTTAGGTAATTCTGCCTTCCAGCTAAGTTTTCTCCTAAAACAGGTACGGGTCAGCTCTAGAAATTGTTCTATGGCGGTCTTACTCAACTTACACTTCTCACAGTAAGGAAGAGGTCTGTCCATTGCATTGTAGAATCTGCAACATCAAGTGTCTTCTCCTAATGACAGACAATTTAGCATGAAGCGAAATGTGCAGGGTGAACGGTTTAAAATTAATGAAGGCAGTCCGATTTCCATGCTGGAGCACTGTAGTAGCAGAAATCGTATGAATTACGTTCATATTGAAATATTTTGTACTGCTTTCATGCAACAAAGACAGTTTTTTTTTTTTTGTTTTTTTTTTAGTTTTTTTTTATTCAACAGTAAAATAATGTTGGTGAGTGTATTACTGTATATTAATCCTGGCCTATTATCATTTTAGAACCGGCCATCGGTGATCACCTGCGCACCAGCAAGCAACCGAAACTGCAACCTATCTCACTGCCCCATCGCACATAGTGTGGTTGTGTGTCAGCCATGCCTGCAAATTACAGGCGACCGTCAAACAGTAAGTTAAACCTATTTCCATCAAGTGCATTGCTTGATAGTTTGAAATTTTAAAAAATGTGTGTGTAATATTTCTCTATCTTTACAATAAGTGAATAAGTGTTGCTCGAATGCATATGTGCACAAAATATATAATACCAACTAAACCATGTGATGTTAAATAGATTTAAAAAAAAAAAAGAATGTTGGTGTGTATGTATTTACTTATGTATATATTATCAAATACCCTCATTAAAGTGAACTAAATACACCAAATGATCCTGCAAAAAAGCATGAAAGGAAAAAACAAATATTCAGAAGTTAGAGCTGTATGACAGTCCCTCTTCCTTTTTTTTTTTTTTTTTTTTTTTTTTTTTTTTTTAAAAGATGAACATTCCAAAATCGTTCTCTTCTTATCACCAGTGTCCCCCAACACCACAGTGAGCGCAAGCTGCGGGCTTACCAGATACTTACATAAAGGTATACGCTAAGTTACCATAAATAATGCTCCATGATACGATGGATTGACAACGCAATATTTATTATTTGATCCACACCCCCCCCCCCCCCCCTGTTTTTTTTTTTTTTTTTTTTTTTCTCCCTCTCTCCCTTCTTTTCCCTTCCTACTTTTCTTCACACCTTTCTCTTCTACTGACCCCACGCTTCATTAGTTACCATTATTTGAGTAATGAGCCCTACTCATTAGAACAGCATCCTTATTCAGAGTGGTCAGCAAGTGCTTTGGCCAGTTAAACCAGAAAGGAGATCCTCCACATCAGTCCAGGCAGTGTTGACTCAAAAACTCTCCTCAGATGGATGGTGGGTGCAAGGTGTACATACAGTGGGGATCGAAAGTTTGGGCACCCCAGCTAAAAATTTGTATTAATGTGCATAAAGAAGCCAAGGAAAGATGGAAAAATCTCCAAAAGGCATCAAATTACAGATTAGACATTCTTATAATATGTCAACAAAAGTTAGATTTTATTTCCATCATTTACACTTTCAAAATAACACAAAACAAAAAAATGGCGTCTGCAAACATTTGGGCACCCTGCAGAATTTATAGCATGCACTGCCCCCTTTGCAAAGCTGAGACCTGCCAGTGTCATGGATTGTTCTCAATCATCGTCTGGGCAGACCAGGTGATGCCAGTCTCAAAGGTTTTAAATGCCCAGACTCATCTGACCTTGCCCCAACAATCAGCACCATGGGTTCTTCTAAGCAGTTGTCTAGAAAACTGAAACTGAAAATAGTTGACGCTCACAACGCTGGAGAAGGCTATAAGAAGATAGCAAAGCGTTTTCAGATGTCAATATCCTCTGTTCGGAATGTAATTAAGAAATGGCAGTCATCAGGAACAGTGGAAGTTAAAGCAACATCTGGAAGACCAAGAAAAATATCAGACAGAACAGTTCGCAGGATTGTGAGAAAAACAATTCAAAACCCACATTTGACTACACGATCCCTCCAGAAAGATCTGGCAGACACTGGAGTTGTGGTACACTATTCCACTATAAAGCGATACTTGTACAAATATAGTCTTCATGGAAGAGTCATCAGAAGAAAACCTCTTCTAGGTCCTCACCACAAAAATCATCATTTGAACTTTGCAAATGAACATATAGACAAGCCTGATGCATTTTGGAAACAAGTTCTGTGGACTGATGAGGTTAAAATTGAACTTTTTGGCCGGAATGAGCAAAGGTACGTTTGGAGAAGAAGGGGCACAGAATTTAATGAAAAGAACCTCTGTCCAACTGTTAAGTATGGGGTTGGATCAATCATACTTTGGGGTTGTGTTGCAGCCAGTGGCACAGGGAACATCTCGCGAGTAGAAGGAAAAATGGATTCAATAAAATTTCAGCAAATTTTGGATGGTAACTTGATGCCATCTGTGAAAAAGCTGAAGTTAAAGAGAGGATGGCTTCTACAAATGGAGAATGATCCTAAACACACCTCAAAATCTACGGGGGATTACATCAAGAGGAGTAAACTGAAGTTTTGCCAAGGCCTTCACAATCTCCTGACCTCAACATAATTGAAAATCTATGGATAGACCTTAAAAGAGCAGTGCGTGACAGACAGCCCAGAAATCTCAAAGAACTGGAAGACTTTTGTAAGGAAGAATGGGCAAAGATACCTCAAACAAGAATTGAAAGACTCTTGGCTGGCTACAAAAAGCGTTTACAAGCTGTGATACTTGCCAAAGGGGGCAGTACAAGATATTAACTCTGCAGGGTGCCCAAACTTTTGCAGACGCCATTTTTTTGTTTTCTGTTATTTTGAAAGTGTAAATGATGGAAATAAAATCTAACTTTTGTTGACATATTATAAGAATGTCTAATCTGTAATTTGATGCCTTTTGGAGATTTTTCCATCTTTCCTTGGCTTCTTTATGCACATTAATACAAATTTTTAGCTGGGGTGCCCAAACTTTCGATCCCCACTGTATAATCATATGAAAACAAAAAATACACCTCTCATATTGCAGATATTATAAAACACCATTTAATAGGCAGGAACTGCACTTACAAGCATATAAAATCCTAAAATTCTCAGTATAATCCCCAAACAGCATCAAAGATCCAAACGTCCGGTAAAATCGTACGCAGTGACATCACAGGGAAGGCTCTACCCGACTCATTTCGGCATAACAGGCGTCTTATGGGGATCATTTGGTTTATTTCTTTCACTTTAATGAGAGTATTTGATTATACAATTTTTTTTTTTTTGTAATTATATTTTAATTTAATATCACATTGTTTAGTTGGTATTAAGTGTTGCACTAATGCATACATGCACAAAATATCTATTAATGAATTATTTATTGGAGAGGATAGCCTCTACTGTGTTTTTGCTGCTCACATATTTTTCTTTTTTGCACATCATTGCGTGCTATAGACTTATATTTTAGATAGAGGGGGAGAGAGATTTCTCTCAAATAAATATAATCCCTGTTTTTGCTTTTGTCCATCTAGCTACAACTGCTTGTGACCCTGTGGTAGAAGAACACTTCCGCCGGAGCCTCGGCAAGAACTACAAAGAGCCAGAGCCGGTTGCCAATTCGGTGTCCATCACCGGTTCAGTGGATGATCATTTCGCCAAGGCGCTAGGGGACACCTGGCTCCAGATCAAAGCCGCCAAGGATGGGGTGTCCAGCAGCCCTGAATCTGCCTCTCGAAGGGGCCAGTCCTCTCCTTCCTCTCACATGCTCAATCATAATCACTCCCCATCTGTACTGTCGTAAAATGAATGTCTGCGAAATCAGGAGCAGCTACTTTCACTGGGCTTTCAAAATAACCATTCGTGTCAGGGGAAGGAGAGTGTTTTCATTTTTCTTTTTCTTTCTTGTATATTTGCTTGGCACAAAGTGGATGCCTCTATCATGTTATAGCAGGAACTATTGTTTTCTAATGTAGCATCCTAACTTCCTGCCTCTGTTACCAAAGAAACCTCTAATGCAAGCCTGCTGCCCACTGACTGACCCACCACAAAATCCCATTCACATCGCGTTATATCAGTTGGTTGACCCAAGTGCTGTCAGCTTACCAGCTTCTAGAACTAGAAAGCTTTGTGTATTTTAACTATTTTTTTTTTTTTTTTCATTGAGTAATTGTATTGTATGTATTTACTTGAAAAGAATTGTCATGTCATGTCTGATTTGCACTATTGAGAGAGGATCAAGACTTCTTGTGAGAAGCTATAATTTAGAGGGCAGACTGCTTCTAAAGAGTTAAGTGTACCTTTTGCCGTTACAATACGGCAACGCTTTTGTGTGCCAATATCTAGTCCATTTACGATCAGTTTTTAAGGAGTTAGTGGCCACATTGAGACCCCTCAGTGATTACTCTCAGCAAGCCATCAGCTGTCTTTTTAAAGGCTAGGGTCACCCGAAGATTATTTAGGTGATTTGATGCTGATGGGCTGAGGCTCACTCTGGTTTCTGGTATCCCTTGGAAGCTTCGGGCATGCCCTCCTATTTCAGATATTGTAGGGGGTGGCCTCTATTTCACCAATTTGTTTATGTACAGAGATTGTAGCAGGGGGGAAATCTGTCTGCTGAAGCCATCATGAGATATAGTACATTTTTGTTCTGGGAAAAGTGGCCAGATGACTTCTATAAGAATATTAAAAAAATATATAGTAGTTCATCAAGGTATGTCTCTTGCAATTGGACAGCAAAAATGACAGATGAGGTACCCATTGGTAGTCTGCCATCACTGCAGTTTGCATGCGTAGAGGTCAGAAAAGATAATAGTGCGTTTAAGTGCATGTTTGTTGAAAACGTAATAGCTGGTAACTATTAATACGGAGACAAGTAACAATCAGAATACTTATTATCCTCTTCAGATGTAGTTTTATTTTTTAACGGTATAGTCTTCTGACATACTTACTGCTGGTACAGTTGTACTCATTGTAATATTTTATTTGGTGTTCACATTTAGCGGTAACCAGCTAGAGCCTCAGGACAGGCCTTGGTGATAATTGAATTCTGATAATGCGTGGTACAGGATGCTATGTGTTTGGTAAGCGATTGCTCTAGTTGCTTTGCATTCTTGTGTATCGTCGCTAGTTTGATAGCAAAATGGCATCAGACAGGTTAGCTTGAGGACGAGTTGTACCTGTACCCCCTTATTTTCTTACCCCATTATAGTTAGACAAAGATTTTGCTCGAGACTGCGGAACGAGTTTAACGCTTTGTGTAAACTGGCGACAAATATGTACATTCCTTTTTGTCAGGAATCTACCACAAAGTCCTTTTTTTTTTTTTTTTTTTTTTTTTTTTTAATCTTCCTTGGTAGATATAAAAAAATCTCTCCTGAGCTGATTTTACTGCACAGCTCTTACCTTGCTTGGCTTTTCTCCCCTTGTGTAACATCTATATACATTCCAGCCTCCCAGTGAAAATGTAAAGAATAAATATATATATATATATATATGTATATATATATATATATATATATATATATATATATAAATATTTTGTGTGTTATTTACAAGCATATAACTGGTTAACGGTCAAAATGCAGGAGTGATTTATTTTTTTTTTTTCTTAAATTAAAGTTGATTATGGGAGGCCCCTAAGCACACATGGCCCCACCCCTCACACTCCAGCTGCTCCAGTGAATTATACGGACAACGCTGTCACAAGGTGGGGGGCATATATTCTATACTGTCCTCAACTCAGACATTTCACTACTATGTTACTGGGTAGTCAATGCTTAAGTGTTTGCCATTCAGTGTAGAAAAAAAAAAAAAAAAATATTTAAAAAAAAAAAATCACCAAAAAAAAAAAAACTTTTAAATGAACACTTTTTTTATATAGGTAACTTTAAGACCATCGTTACGCTGTGCGTAAAGAATGTACAGAAAAAAAAATTTGTAGGTATTTTTTTTTGGAAAACGATTAATTTGTTAATGATATGTAGCTATTTAATTTGCCCTTTCTTTAAATGTAATCATACAGTTCTGTTTGTTTGTTTTTTTTTTCTGGTTGTTTGGAGTAAAAAAGTTGATCTTTTTTTTTTTTTTTTTTGTTTAGATGTGTCTGTAATACAGTGATGTGCAGGTACACTTGTATACTATTGAAACGCTGCATTAATATTGGATAGCCACTAGCATGTCGTTGCGAAGTCTGCTGAGTGTTACAGGGATCTGAAACATAGACGTGGGCTCAGTGTCAAGTGAACACATTGCTGTTTGTTATCCTGGACTTGTGTAAAGATACAAAATGGTAACAATAGTACAGAATCAATGTCCATATGGAACTCGGACTCCTTGTGATGTTCTTTTTGTAACTGTCCTGGGTGAAAAAGGCAATCTGATCACTGCAGCTGTACAGTAAAATGTGACTCATTAAAACAATCTCATATTTTGTGTGTTTATATCTATCTTATACAAGAGCAGTCTTCTTAACTTACATGACTCTGCTGCCCTATCTGAGATAGGTGCCTTGTATACAGCACAGGTGGCCAAACCACACTTAAATAAAGACAAGCACTCGACAATTTTTCTTGTGTTTTTATTTTTTTGAACTCCTAATTGATGGCATGGACATACACAAACTTCTATGGATTGTCCGTTTTTGTGATGCCAGTTGGTGTGTTGCTAACTGTCAATGACCTGTTGTGTAATGTCACTGGTTCAGATATATGGAAATGGACTCTTGTGTTAGTTAGCAGGATACAACAGACTATTGAAGCTGTACTAGTGTAAAATAAGATACATGGCTAATACAATATTAACTAAAACCCATTTTGTAACAGGAGGTGGCTATTTTGTGTACTTTGAAAATAGGAAGTGCTTTTTTTTTTTATTTTGGTTGCAGCAATGATTTGGTTTTGGCCAGAAAAAAACCCTCAAATACTTCTGGCCATTTGTATGTCTCCATTAAACGAACAATGAGAGTTTAACCTATACCTGTTGTATAAATGTACTCTAGGAGCAGTAAGTTTGTATGCCCAAGTGGTTCATTGGGCGATGACCTGCATAGCAGTCACTACTTTCTAGAGTTTAGTAACTTTTTATGCTCAACAGGTGCTCTTTAAATCTCACCTTTCATCAACTAGATCTGGTGAGAACCGAAGCATGCAATTCTGGGTTTTAAGATCAAAGTGTTCTTGATGCCAGTGATGGACAAAAATGATAAAACAAAAAAAATGAAAATGTCTGGTTTCCCATGAAACAAGTCATGGGACTTTTTTCTACATTTCCATGTTTGTAAATCTGTAATATAGCATTCTGTTGTGGCCTTGTATTGTCTGGAAACAGAAAGGAGGAAAAAAAAAAGTTTGGCAGGCCATCTTTTTTTTTTGTACGTTTAAAAGTAGCCTTAAAGAACAATAAAGTGCTCTTAAATCACACCTTGTGTTGTATTTTTTTTCTATCAGTGTATTCTCATAGGCTGATTATGTGTTTAAATGTGGCACAGGCACTGCCCCCCCCCCAATCTTTCCATACCAATTCCATGCTAACCAGAAAAACTGAGCCCAAGTGACTTTTTTTTTTTTTTTCCTCTCACTGCCTAGTGACTTTGATCTTATCCTGAGTCTTCATCCTGAATAACTTATTCCAGATCAGTGATTCAGTAAGGCCCCTTTCACATGGTTGGATTGATTGGGTCAGCCTGACAGACAGGCTGCCCCAAATCAGACCATCCATTGCCCTCTATGGAGCGGTGGATGTAAACGAACATGTGGCCATTTCCACCTGCCGCATCCGATCTGCTAAAAACAGATGTTTGGTGAACTGAACCCCCATTTGTCTCAGTGTTTCTAATCTTTTTTTCCCAGTCAAGGCAAACCTTTAAAACTATGCGCAAACTCGAGGCACCCCGTTCAAAAATGTAAAACGCGTAACTAATCGTTTTACAGAATGTAGCAACATCCACACATGTAGCACACAACACTAGGGGTGATTTATTCTTTCAAAGCAATACACCTTTGCATGCTGGTACCAACTAGTATTCCACAGTTTCCCTGCTCCATCAGTTTCTCCTTTACTCAACTAATGTGACCCAGTGCTATGGGGGGGCGACTGGAGTGGCAAACAAAGATGCTGAGCAGGTGCGTGATGTTCTAACCTCCGGCATCCTAACAACCAGGGACCTCATCAGTTGATGGTTATATGTAAGCCAGCAGGTGGATCAAGCCTGCATTTTAATTTCATAAAGCCACAGGCTTTACACGATTACAGTTTTGGGCAAATTTAGGCATTTTGTCAAGGCACCCCTGAAGGCACCCTGGTTGAAAGAGGCTGGTCTATCTGATCGAATGACAGTTGGATGTAAAAGGACAGGCGTTCTATTTACATCTGATCACCCATAGAGCAAAGAGGGCTGTGTCCTTGCACAAGCGGAGTGGACATGGACCTGTCATCTGCCTGCTCAGCAGAGATCAGCGGACAGATCCCTCACTGAGGAGACTTGGCCCCTTTCACATGGGCAGACTCTACCAGTGGATAATGTAATATAGCTGGTATCTAGATGTATAGCTATAGATGTTGCACTGATCAAAACAAGACAACATGGGCAGCTCTTATTTTCATCCCCATGGATTCACTTTAAGGGTGCATTCAGAACTGTCAGTGCACCAGATTCTGATCACATGCAAGAACCCCAGCAGGGTTCTCACCGATCCAGGGCCAGGGTTGATCACTGGCATGTGAGCGGCTGTGGATGCTGCCAGTCTTCTGTTGCTTTCAATGAGGATGCCTCACCCCAGCTAATCACTGGAAACCCCTGCTGGA